TCCCGGCCACAGACCCCCGAGCGGCCCAGCTGGCCCCCGGCTCCAGGCCGCCCGCCCACGCTGTGTCGTCATTTCAAGTCAGAGGTTTCAGAAAGGCTCAGCCCAAGGCGCTGGGGGTGAGACCGCGGCGGCGGCCCGGGGGGAACGGGGCACCCCGGGGGCAAAGGGGGGGTCGAGTATCCCCAGGGACTGCCCCCCGCTTGAGGTTCTCCTTGGCTGGGGCAGAGGTGACGGTCGGGACCAGCTCCCTTTGCTGGCTCATGCCGCTGTGCCGAGCGCCAGCACGCCCAGCTGTCCCCGGTCCCTTTTCGGCACGGCGGGGGCGCAGCCGGGACGTGGCGTGACAGCGGGATCGGGGTGGGACGCGGCTAACGGCAACGGTGATATCCATCCTTTGCCAGCGCTGGCAGAGGAGGCAGCGCTTTGGGCCAAGAGTGACCGGGGGGGGGACGGGACATCCCTCTTCCCCCCGTCCTTCCCCCAGACCATCCACATCTTTACCGGGATCATCCACATCTGCTTCGGGATCATCCTGACGGTGTCAGAGTACGGGACCCCTTCCATCCCTGTGGCCAGCGGTGTCTTCTTCTGGCTCGGGCTCCTGGTAAGCAGGGACGTGCCTGGCCTTCACCTCCTCGCCGTCCGACGAGGGGAATCGGTGGATCGGGGGCCAGACCCCCTCGTCGCCAGGGCCTCCTCTTACACCCACGTCTTCTGGCTGTCCCCTCCGGGGACGGAGGGTGCGTGCGTGCAGCCCCGAACACTTGATTCGCAGCCGGAGGGGCGCCGGGACGTGCAGGGGGTGGGGGACGGGGAGGGGCGCCTTGCTGCTGACGTCCTCCTTTCTCCGTTTTCTGAGCAGCTCCTGGTCTCAGGCTCTCTGCTGGTGGAAAGTGAAAAGAGAGATAACATCTCGCTGGTAAGGGGGTCCCCTGCGACCAGGCCGGGAGGGACAAAGCATCCCCCCCGTTGCTTCTGCGACTTCTGCCCCTCCCAGCGGCTGGGGGGGCCCCCCCGCCGCCCGGGCTCACACCGCGCG